CATAATTAGTGAGATAAAATTACGAAGCAGCCATGTGCTATAAGGTTAATTTCATTCTGTCAAACAGACAATGAAGATGGTGCTGCCATCTATGACGGGCAAGATCGTCAGAGGAACTATACTTGACGTTCGCTTACGTTAAATATTAAAATGGAACTAGTCGTGGTGTAACCGATTTAAGTTTTGACATATAAATTATTTTAGTTAGTTCAATGAATAATATAAAGCGTTTCTAAATCAGTTTTAAAAAATAATAAACGTTTTAGTATATTAATAATATTGTGAAGTTGAAGTTATGGGTTATACATCATAACACCATGTATTATGATGTTTCTTATACTTTAACAAATTGTGCTATGCTAATCAGGACCGGTGGAGTATTTTTCATGCTTACTAATAAGTAAGTACTTACATATTATTTTATGTACAAAATACTATTAAAGGATACAATAACAATTATTTTTTTTGAGTGAATATTTTTTAAATATTTATTAGAATTACTACCGTTGTTAGTACAAAACTGTTTTATATTTTTGTTATAAATAATTATAGTATTTAGCATCATAGTGTAGCATTATATAAAATTCTGAACTCTATTATGTATCATAATAATAAGGTGTAGTGAAAAATACATAGATAACTAGTGGGGTGCATGGCATCGCGCCTTAAGGCAAATTGCTGGAACTTCCCGTACCGCAACGAAATGTTCAAGGAATATTAAATGTTTTCAAATATATTATTATAAATAAATACTGTAAAATTGTCTAATATTTATAAGAATTAGATAAACTGAATTGCAAAGTTGAAAATATTTGTTTAAAGTATATTAGAACTTAAGTCGATATACAAAAAAACTAGCTGTAAGTGGAATTCTGTCTTAAGGCAATTAGGGCATCGTGCCTTAAGGCAAATTGCTGGAACTTCCCGTACCAAAAATTATTATTTTTTTAAAAACGATTAACATTTTTGAAAAAAAATTAATTAAAAAAAATAAGATTTTTAAGAAACTATAAATTGGACAAAGAATTACTTTTTCTTGAAAAAAAAATTTTTAAAAAAAAAAAAATTCTAAAAAAAATTTTTTTTTTAATTTTTTTTTTTTTGAAAAAAAAATGTTTTCTTTATTTTGACATATTTTGGAAGATCTGAACTTTTTTTCAAAGCAATCGTACTGCCGCAACTGCATAGAAACAAAATATAAAGCGCGTAAGCGCCGCGTCGCTGTCTAACGGATAAACATTGGTACGGAACCCATAGGAATGTAAACAAAATTCATACTTATTGTTAAAATCTCTATAAAATATCTGATAATTTGATGTGCATATGTCTAATGATCATTTTTGACCGCGAAATGGCATTTTTTTTTACTTTTTTCGTTAGATCTCCGAAACCGCTAGACCTGCCTTCATGATAATTTGATCAATTCTTCACCTTGTCAATACAAGTAAAATGTTTTTTGAATTATTAAAATCGGACGCTCCGTTCTCTTAAAAACTGAGTTACCGTTTTCGGCGCTTTTTGCCCCGTATCTTCGGAACGGCTAGACCTGCTTTTGCCAAAAACTAATCAGCACGTCTCCTTATCAATACGAATCGAATGCTTTTTGAATTCTTCAAATCGGTTGATCCGTGTTCCCGAAATCGTCGACGAAAATTTGTATCCGCACATACATACACACACATACATACACACACACACACACACACATTACATCCATTTTTTCTAAGGTATGCCAAAATGTTCAGAAACCTCTGAAACGTAAAGATATATAAAAATTTTCATTTTCGATTTTTTTGCGATTACTATAACTTACCCTACGGGAAGTTAAAAATTGAAAAAAAAAATTGAGTCAATTTTTTTCCCCAAAAGCAATTATTTTGTTAAAACAAGCAGAAAGTCCTTTGAATCATTCAAATCGGACGCTTAGTTCTCTCAATAACTGTCATTTTTTGCACATTTAGCTCTGTATCTTCGAAACCGCTGGACTTGTCTTTGTCAAAAACTAATCACTACTTTTCCCCGTCACTACGAATTGAATGTTTTTTGGATCATTCAAATCCGATGCTCCGATCTCCTAAAAACGCGATTTCTATTTTCTGCATTCTTTGCTTCGTATCTCCGAAACGACTGGACCTGCCTTTGCCAAAAACTAATTAGCACTTCTCCCTATCTATAAGAATCGAATGTTTTTTGAACCATTCAAATCAGTTGAATCATGCGCCCGAAAACATGGACGAAAAATTGTATCCATACATACACACACACACACATCCATTTTTTTAGAAGTATGCCAAAATGTTTAGAAACCTTCAAAACGTCGAGAAATGTAAAAATTTTCGATTTCGATTTTTGGACGATTACAATAACTTACCCTACGGATGCCCTACGGGAAGTTAATAAACGGTTTTGTGAAGTCGAAGTTATGTGTAATGCATCATGACACCATGTATTATGTTTACACTTCTCTCTTATTAATTGAACAAACAAATTGTGTCCTAATCCGGAACAGAGGGAGGCTTTTTATGTTAACTAATAAGTAAGTAACTTAACTATTATTTTACAATCAAATACTATTTAAGGATACAATAACAATCATTTTTTTTGAAAGAATATTTTTTTGAATTTTTATCAGAATTACTATCAATTGTTAAGTATTAACAATTGTTAGTACAAAACTGTTTTATATTTTTGTTATATATAGTGTTAAGCATTGTATAAAATTCTGAGAAACATCATAATAATTAATTAAATTTAATAAAAAAATACATAGATAACAATACGTGTATATTGTTAAGAACTATTATGCATTTATTATAATATTTTATGTTCATCACATCTTCATTAAGATAAGTTTGTAATTTCATGATGTGAATTGGTACCATTTATATAAAACTTTTATAAATCGACCCTTATCCGACAATAAGGGTCGAATCAGGTAAAACTGATTATTATTGAGCGGGAATTAAAAAGTGTTTGTATTTACATATCAAGAAGAAAACCAGTAATTAATATCTCTTCAATGTGTATAAGTAAAACTGTGGGAAAATATCGTTTAAACGATTTTGTGTCTATTACAAGTCGGGAATATTTCCACTTGTCCAAACTATTTTTCAAAGACTGTCAGAAAATTCGTTTTCCTCATTTTTTGCTGCCTTTTGTAAATTTGAAAATGGAGGTTCGAAATAATTAATGTTAGAAGCTATTTTAAGGGAGAAGTCTGCTTTAGAGGCTTCAAAAACGTCCTTTTTTGAGGAATTTTTAAGGAAGGAAATAAATATTTAATTGAAACGAAACTTTCAGGTTTTATTGTAATATATTTCAGCATTCTTCTCAATTTTTTTTTAAAATATATGACATAATATGAAATAATATGCCGGGTACAAGCATTTGGTGCAGGCGAGAAAAATCGGATGCTTAGTTCTCTCAAAAACTGCCATTTTTGCACAATTAGCTCGGTTTTGCCAAAAACTAAACACCACTTTTTCCAATCATTACAAATTAAATGTTTTTTGGATCATTTAAATCGGACAATCCGTTCTCTCAAAATCTCGATTTCTATTTTCTGCTCTCTTTGCTCTTTATCTCCGTAACGGCTGGACATGCTTTTGCCAAAAACTAAAGAGCACATCTCCTTATAAATAGGATCGATTGTTGTTTAAATCATTCAAATCGGTTGATTCGTGCGTCCGAAAACGTGGACGAAAAAATGTTCTATTCTAAATACAATCAATTTTGTCTCTTTTCTATAGGACGTTCAAAATCGAAAAAAATGAACAATTGAGAAATCACGCATCGAGTTTCCGTTCCGCTCGTATAAATGCCCACTATTTCTTATTTAACTCCCAAAATATTTTGATTTTTTTTCTGAAATTGTAGGGATACATTCTTGGCTAGTTTGGAAGACATTTTTGCAAAAAAATCGACTTTTTTAAGCCTCTAAAGCAGGCTCCTCCCTTAACACATCTTTAGATTTTTGCATTCGACAATTTTCTGTTCATTCAAGCATATCATTTTCAAATATTTAATGGTTGTTGTAAAGAAATAGCTAAGTTTTAATTTCAACCCATACTTTTCAAAAACGTTTGGCAATTAAACAAAATATTTGAAATTTCCTGTTTTTATTTTTTTTTAATTTTGATGTGATCACTACTACGAAAAATTGATCTGAAAGATATTAAAATTATTTAAAACTTAATATCGACATAAAGAAAAATTTGTTCAATCCACAATTTAAGCTAGTTGAAAGTGGCATTTAGCTTTAATCAAGTTACATTAACTCAAGCGAAATTGAGATTTAGATATTTAGATAAAATTTTCAACTGTTTATTTCGAAAATAAAGTTTCTTTGGTAAAGTTTTTGAATTTTTAAAATCGATTCAGGGTTTTTGGCTAAAACGTAGACGAAAAATATTCCACTTTTCTGCTAATTACAAAGAAACGGCTCAGCCGATCGTGTCAAAATCTAACCAACGTGAGTGCTTATCAAGTTTCATCGAATGGTTTTTAAATTTTTGAAATTGACTCAACCATTTTTGAGAAAACGCCGACGAAGGGTCAAAAATCTTTTTTCAACACATACTTTTTTCAAACTTGGTTTCATTCGATTCAGAATAGCTTGAAACGTCGAGGAAACATAAAATTAGTAAATCTGATTTTTTGTCGAAAACAAACTTTTTCTTGTGGAAGTTAAAAAAAATCAAAATTATAAGGCATTTTGTTACTTTAAATTTCAAATGTCACGTGGTGACGTCATAAGGACTAATTTGATTAATAGTTCAAATATTTATGCAGAGTAAAACGCACACAGAAAAATATTACAATATAATTCATATACATTAGCATAGAATATACTTTAGGTACAATTGGAGTACATATTAATCTCTATAACAATTAAAGTTTTTTGTTTTAGGGTATTCTATTATCAATAGGTATAGTATAAATTTATTTGAAATTAAATAACTAATAATATATTATTATTGTGCTATAGTATTCAGTGAAGTTCAATTGATTTTAAGTGCTGCCTTGCAATTTCCGATTTTCGAGTATTGTCCCATTCGGCGTTCGTGCACTTTTTTGTGTTTTGCAAGATGATCTGACCTGGAGAAGGCTTTTGGGCAGTAGCAGCAGTTGTATGGCTTAATCCCGAAATGCGATCTTCGGTGTCGTGATAATTCATCTGATCTCGAGAACCTCCAACAGCAACCTGGCCAGGTACACCGGAACGGCTTCTCACCAGTATGTCTTCTCAAATGAGCCTTCAAGTGCGAAGATTTTGCATACCATTTGTTGCAAGATTTGTAGGTACATTGGAAAGTTTTTTCCTCGTCATCTTTCTTCACAGCGATTTGAGACAACTGCGGCAATTTGCCATCAACATTTAACTCGTCAATGTTCATAGTTTCGTGTATGTTGTAAATACTATCTGTAACTGGATCTAAAGTGAATTCGTCAATAAAATTTAAGTCGGGCGAGAACATATTCTCACAATTAATAACTTGTTCATAATTATCGTTGCATAACGGAGTTTTTAGAAACAAGCATGATTCATCACAAAACGGAGTATTGTGAACACACCCTGATTGATTTGTCAAAAATATTTCTGAACTTCCAACTTGCTGTAGCACAGGCATTTCTATCTTAGATTCTTTGGGTGTGTCGAGCACTTCGAAGTTACGAAAATCGTAATTTATGTCATAATCAGGCTCAGTATATTCATATAAATCTTCTTTGTAAGCAAGTAGCTCTGATGAGTCTATCATCCAATTACTGAAAATGGTGCCAAAATCATCTATAGAATTTTCGCCAGTCAAATCTTCCTTCATCGTTGCGAGTATAATTTTGTAAACTAACTAAAAATAAAGTAAATTTTAAAATTAAAGAATTTAAAATATATTATATTTTAAGCATGCACTATTTACACCTTATTTAATACGTATATGCATATATTTATATACAGGTAACCTCCGTATATCAAGGATTTGCTCTAACACGGTTCGAGAATTGAGCAAAACTCTAAATTTAATCTAATTTAAAGTTATCACCATACAACAGCTCAATAAAGATGATAATACCAGTGAGAAAGATAGCTTATTAAACATTTTTCATTCGACCGCTTACATTATTAGACCAAAAGGATTAGTCTTACCCCAACAGTTATCCATGGAACATATGCATATTTTTTAAAAGAAGATTTTTCAAATAAAATTAGCATAAATTTTTGTTGTTGTTTTGTTAGTTGTTAGTTTACAAGATCTTAATAAAATTTTTAAGTTTACGCTATATGGTATGTATAGTTTACGTTTGTATCTTAATGTTTTATAAGATATATTGTTATTTAAAGTTAGATTCAACAGTTTTTTTATATAATCTTTATAAAAGCTTAGATTTAAGGGGGTGAAAAAGATCATGTGAGCCTTTACCCTGGCAAAGGTGTAAACAATAAAAAATAGTAAATTAAATTAACAATTAAAGTAATTTAAGTTAAAATTTTACAAGAGAGAAGTTAATCAAATAGTTATTCCAACTTTGCTGAAGAATATTTTTAACGAAATACCAGATCAAGGTAATATACAGTGTTATCTCTGTAAAAAAGATACTCATGAAGTTTAAATTTTGCGTTGACTGAATAATGTAGCTATTATTTCGTAAAATTTCTTTAAAATTAAAAATAAGATATTAGATCTCTTTGCTTCCTGTTTCATTTTACTTCGTCTGTGGGGTAAAAAAGGCTAGGTGACAAATTTTTGAAAAACAGCTTAAATCGCTTGCGTTGGATAGTATTTACTTGTTAGTTGTGACAAAGAAAATGCCATTTAATTCATTTGTTATGTATTAATTCTTAATAAAATTTAATAAACATATTAATTATCTTCCCGCAGTGTAAGTTATAGTAATCGCAAAAAAATCGAAAATGAAAATTTCTATATATCTTTACGTTTCAGAGGTTTCTGAACATTTTGGCATACCTTAGTAAAAATGGATGTGTGTGTGTGCGGATACAAATTTTCGTCGACGATTTCGGGAACACGGTTCAACCGATTTCAATTATTCAAAAAACATTCGATTGTTGTTGATAAGGAGACTGATTAGTTTTTGATTAGGAGGTGATGATTAGTTTTTGGCGAAGGCAGGTCTAGCCGTTTCAAAGATACGGGGCAAAAAGTGCCACAAACGGTAACTCAGTTTTTAAGAGAACGGAGTGTCCGATTTTAATACTTCAAAAAACATTTTACTTGTATTGACAAGATAAACAACTGAGCTGAACAAAGAAAACATTTTTTTTCAAAAAGTCTTTTTTCAAAAAAAATAATTCTTTTTCAAAAATTCATAGTTTCTCAAAAATCTAATTTTTTCAAAGTAATTTTTTTTGAAAAATGTTTATCTTTTAAAAAAAATAATTATTGGTACGGAAAGTTCTTAGTCTTTATTATGAAATTTTAACATATAGAATGTTTTTTTTACATTTTTGTACTAGTTCTTTGTTTGGTATAACACGGGTTGTCTAAATATTATTTTTTTAATATATGTTTTTGACACGTGATAAATATAATAGATTTTTAACATCATTGATTTGACCAGGAATGAAATGGCTGGAATCAGTTGCTTCTTGGGCATTACAAAATGAAAATCCTCTTGAAAGACTTACAATTAGTTTATATTTAAGACAAGAATTATCTTAAACAAGAAATATAAAATTTTATTAAGCCGTACACATTTCAGTGTATTTTCATAGCAAATGTTAGGTACGGATAATTGGTTTTTGCGTTTCTGAATCTATTTTGGTAAAAAATATTCAGGAACTATTAAAATAATACGAAGACGTTTTATAATTATCGACGTCGTTGTTTCAGTTCATATTAGTCGAATTCATATTGCAAAAATTAGAAAAAAGATTAAAAATGTTTATGATCATAATAATCTAGAGGAAATCATTAGATTGTAAGACTTTGCGATATTTTGTTGTTAAAATGTATGATTTTATACTTAATTCTTAAAATAATATGATCGGTGTCAATATAATAATAAAACTTACGTTTAGAGCAAAACCATAACGCGATGTGTTTTAGTCCAGTCATTTGGTCGTTTTGCCGGTACAGTACTCCGGGAATTCTGAAAATTGGTAATCTTATAGATTTCGAGGTGCTCTTTACGGAAATCAACTTTGCCACCTCAAATTTGAACGGCAAGTTGCCGCCATATTGAAAAAATGGCGTCAAAAAACAGCTTTTTTAAAATATCTACTTTCTGGCTCAATCTACGATAAAAGTATCTATGTACGAATTAAACTAGAGAAAATTTCCTACAATTCCTTAGAAAACCGTTTTTTTGTAAAATTGATAGTTTGAGAGTACGGCCGCCTCAAAAACTTTGCTGCTCTCGCCGTAGTATCAAATCTGTCCATATATGACAGCACTTCGTACTTGACCACATTCTCTCTAATAATTAATATTTTCAATATTAAATTGAGCGAATAAGATCTAGAAATAAAATAATTCAAATATTTTTCTGTTTTTTTGCTGATTTTTTGACGCTTCAAGCTACTTGAAGCTATAAGGTGCTACTCAAGCTATAAGTATATTTACAGCTACTTTGCCATTGAAGTGTTAAAAAATTAACAAAAACAACGAAAAATATTTGAATTAGATCGCTTAAGATCTTATTCGCTTAATTTAACATTGAAAATATTAATTATTAGAGAGAATGTGGTCAAGTTCGAAGTGCTGTCATATATGGACAGATTTGATACTACGGCGAGAGCAGCAAAGACTTTGAGGCGGCCGTACTCTCAAACTATCAATTTTACAAAAAAATGGTTTTCTAAGGAATTGTAGGAAATTTTATCTAGTTTAATTCGTACATACTTTTATCGTAGATTGAGCCAGAAAGGAGATATTTTAAAAAAGCTGTTTTTTGACGCCATTTTTTCAATATGGCGGCAACTTGCCGTTCAAATTTGAGGTGGCAAAGTTGATTTTCGTAAAGAGCACCTCGAAATCTATAAGATTACCAATTTTCAGAATTCCCGGAGTACTGTACCGGCAACAGCCTTTTTTTGCACCAAATGACTGGACTATTTGTCGTTCGAAAAACGGGTAATTAAGTTTCAAATTGTGCAACAATAATATTTGGAATATATGTTTTACCTAGTATTTTGTTAACATAATTGTTACGTAGTTTTTTAATTCATTATTTGGTACTACTTAATTTCTTCCAGAGTTTTGAAATTATTATTTAGCTAACCTTTGTGTTTACTAATAACCAAGTTAACCAATGAATAGAAACCCTTTTGTTCTTGAATATAAAAATTGGATATATGATATATTATTTTTTACATTAGATTTTATCAAAATTTGTCAAATAATTTAATTGGATATATTTATTATTATTGTTTTCACTATTAACACTGTACTCACTTGTACATAAATCACTAATGATACCCACAAACTGGAAATTTCTCTTTCATCTGTATTTATTAAAATGATGAAAATTATATTTAAAAAAATGATTTTTATTAATAAGAAACATACGATTCGAACGTACATTTAAAACTGAAAACGTGACTAAATGATTACGGGAATAATATGGTCAAATGCATGGTTTTAATCTGGTCTGGTATATCTCACTGAATTTTTATTTCGTCTCTTGGGATTGTATAATGGTTATCACGAATTTTACATTCAACAGTTTACTAAATCAAAAGCTGGATCGAATGTCACATTATGTTAAATATATTTATTGACGCATTTTAATAGTACGAGGCGCCTGAATGTTGGCCAAAAATTTAGATAATTTTATACATTGTAAAATCAGACAAGTGATTGTGAATGTTTGTCTAATCACGAATAAATTCTCACATATCATTCATTCACTTGTTCTGTTGTCATGTTTTTGATCGGAATAAGGGATTTTTTCTCGGAATTTAATGCTGCCGTTATTTTTTGCCATGCTTTATAACTTATTAGTCTAGTATTAATAGAATGATGATTCTGAAGCGAAAATTTATATTTGTTGGATTATAAAAAATAACTATATTTTATTAGAAATCACAGTAGTCAAATAACGTTTGTACTTCAATCTTATCGATTTATAGTTCACATCTCCTATAGTTTTGTAGTAGAGGTCTGGGCGCGATTGTGCCAGGGCACAATCAAATAGTGAGAAAAACGAGAAAGATGAAGTATGTTTGTTCGAACAAGTTTCCATTATTGCATCAAGTTTGCGCCCTACATAAACATAATCTGCAGACCGCGTTGCTTTTAAAAAGTCAAAAGTAAGTTTTTTGACTGTTGCTTGTATACAGATAGATCACTTTGTTTATTATTTTGATGTTAGTTGAACATTTGTGTGACATTTAAACAGATAAAGAAAAATCTAACTTAACTAAGACAAAATATGTAAGATAATTATTGTTAACTTTGTTTTCATATTCTGATTGTTCAAATGATTATGTTGTGATCTGTTACATATTTCTGACAATGAAAGTCATTTTAAACCATTTTGTTAATAGCTATTGTTTTTTAAACTGTGTTTATACTTGTCAACGTTGAGGTTGTTGCTTCAAAACAAATTATATGGATGCACAAAAATTCAAAAACTTTTCTTATAGTTAACACTTAAATACTTAATCTTCAATTTAATTATCATTAAAGATATATATTTCAAGCAACATACTGTAAGATAGATCAGTGGATCCTGTCTTATTTTAACACTTACTTAGTTCTCACTTTAGCTTATAGAAATATTGTAATTTTTCTGATTGCTAAATAAACGTATTACATAAAAATAAATTAGTTATCATTCATGATTGATGACTGATTTTGAGATAGGGTCTAAAGGAAGAAAGATATAGTATGTTTGTTCGAACAAGTTTCCATTATTGTATTCAGCGCTCATTAACATGATCTGTAGACCGCATTGCTTTTAAAGAGCCAAAAGTAAGTTTTCATGTTCGAGTTCTTTTAATAACTCGTTGTGCTATGTCACTTTCGAAGCCTTAAATGAATTTAATCTAACTCATCATTTTCGTGATATAAAGTTTGTTTCTTATTATATTACTATTAGATGAGTTGTTTATATTTTGATAATTTTAACATCCATAAATTTGTACTGGAAAAACATGAATTATTCGAATTAAATTTAACGCCTTAAGAAATTGCACTGATAAATCTTTTTTGATCATAGAATAAAGGAATCATTTATTCATACGAAAAAAATGCACACCAATTATAGATTATCAACTCATAATTGCATATAAATTTATTAACCTATAATTACAAGATATTTATACTGTAGTAGTAATTTATCCTTATAGTAATAAGTACAGTGGTACCTCGACATACGAGTATAATTTGTTCCGTAACCACGCTCGTATCTGAAGCACTTTTTCCCATGTAAATACATTGAAATGCCAATTCGTTCCTGAACTGTGGTTTTTGTTAAGTTTTTGAATTTTAAAAATAAATTTACTATATATTAATTTAATTGTTTTTTTCTGTTCAGAGATGATATTGCGGAAATGAGTTAGACATCTTTCATTGAACAACTCTCATGTTCCAACTCTTGCAGCTTTTTTAAGGCGATTTTTATACACAAACTTTTAGAGCCCAGAAAGCTGTTTATAAATTATTGTAAGGCCCTCAACTGGAGTTAGACCCTTTATCAACTCCTTATGTTTAAACACTGTACATATCTATGGTGGTACATCCTCGTCATCATCATATTATTCAATAATTTCACATTTCAATTCAAGACACATGGCTCTTTCTTTGAACCCACTATTATAAAAGTGCATAATATTTTGTAAATGTACAAAAACCAAAAAAAACGCGAACTCAACATATATAACCGTACAATCACTATTAATGTATGTGTAGTTAAAATTTCAATGTTAAAATAATCCTTGATATATTCGCGTGGTTTACTACAAAATTGATATGAATATATAATCAAAATTTTTAAATAGAAAATAATTTACTATCATAAAACAGCCAAAATATTTCTATGGTAAAAAAATCATTCCTACATCTGACGAAATTTTTCATATTTTCATTATGCCGTTAACATTTTTCTAAAAAACTCTTACTCGAATTTTGCTCGTATGTCGAAGAAACGAATCTCTTTTTGGCGGCTCGTATCTCGAAACACTCTTAAGTCGATTATTGTAAGTCGAGGTATCACTGTATATGAGATATGTGTTATTTTAAAACACCTATCAGTCAACATTTTGATTTTTCCAACTAGAGTAAAGTATTACTTTGATTGTTGATACGCATTATAATGATATTTTAGTGCTCTCATATATTTTGTTATTTTAATCTACTTTTTAACATGTTTTTTTTAACAAAATCTTTAAAGCACATTGACTTGCTGAAATGAAAACAGCTTTTCAATTAAGGTTTTAATTCTAGTTTTAATATTTTTTGTTAAATATACTAACTTATTGTAAGTGCTAATTGTATTCAATTGTAATAATCACATTTGTATGATTGTTCATCCAAATTTTCTATACTATGAGAATATTTTATCCTTAAAATTTTTTCTATTATAAGAATGATCAAACTGATGCCGAACCCTATGCCTAATAATTTAAAAGCAGCGGCAACACCGTGCCATGAAACTGGGCTGACAAAATTTGCTGTGCATTCTGGTTTTTGAGAATACCTCATTTTGAGAAATCTGGGCGAAAGTCCGTTTTCTTTAGCCTTGAGTAATCTGAAAATATATTTGTATAGGATATTAGTTTATTTGTCATAAATAATAAATTTTGATTGTTTTATTATTTACCCAACAGTTAGCATTTTTGTTAAAGGTGATCTTTTCGGCAGCACCGTGTATAAAGTATCCTTTTGATAAATATTTACCTGTAAAAAAAATATTTTGCTCCATTTGTTCTATACAATTTCTCATAATTAAAATGTTTGTTAAGTAATGTTGTTTTTATAAATACGAAGACAACTTTATTGGTAACATATTTGCTGCAAAATATTCCAAGTGGTAGACGCAACTTTTACCAGTTGAATTTTTGATTACTAATGTAGAAATACAGTAGTAAAATAGAAATAGGAAATATTAACTTTTGAGCTAAAATCAAGTTGTATATTCAATGTGTACATGAACATAAGCATTTGAAAAGTATTTGGACTCTTGGTTAAAAAAAAATAGGAAACTTTTTGGCTATTTCTCAGACTTTTCAACCTCGTAATATTTATTTTTGCCATTTACGATACGCTTGTTTTAATTTTTTTTATACTCATTTATAGCAATCACAACCTTATGTCCTAGAGCTGTCGGGCTGAAAATTCTTCTCACGACGTATTTTTAGATAGAAACCCAACGGATCCATTCATATTTAATTATTTTATTATTAAAATTTATCTGATGGGGTTGATTATTCAATTTGATGCAGCAATGTCTGGGAAGGCATTTTCATTTGAAAACATATTTAAGATAAATATTTCCAAGTAAAAATTGTTATTGCTTGATATCGGGGTTGGAATATTATGAAATATGAATATTGTTTTGAAATTATAAAAGTAGATGGTAAGAATTCACAATGTAAGAAATTTACCTGCCGAAGTTCGCATATTTCTTGTTCATTAAACGTATTAGCAATTTCAGAATACGCAGATTGTGGTTCTGTGTGATAGGCTACTCTTTTGTTTTTTATCAGTTGTATTCCTTCTTCCTTATTTACAAAAAGTTGTGGTTCATTTGAACTTCTAGGTGCCTTTAATTTTTTATGATACAATTCTTCCATTCCTTTGAATTGTCTTTGCTGGAAAAGTTTTCTGTATTATTTTGGATAAAGCAATTTTATGATTTAGTTTATGTGATAATTCATATGTGATCTATTATAAGACTTTTAATTTAAGGGGGTTGTTCTTTTTTATATTTTTTGGTTTCGGTTTTGAGATTTTTTGATATTATGAAAGCTAAAAACCTTAGAATTATTTAAAAAAAACTAGCTGTAAGTGGAATTCTGTCTTAAGGCAATTAAAGCATCGTGCCTTAAGGCAAATTGCTGGAACTTCCCGTACCAAAAATTATTATTTTTTTAAAAACGATTACCATTTTTGAAAAAAAATTACTTTGAAAAAATAAGATTTTTGAGAAACTATAAATTGGACAAAAAATTACTTTTTTTTTTGAAAAAAAAAAAAAAAATTTTTTTAAATTTTTTTTTTTATTTTTTTTTTTTGAAAAAAAATTGTTTTTCTTTATTTTGACATATTACTGAACTTTTTTTTTAAAGCAATCGTACTGCTTTAACTGCATAGGGACAAAATATAAAACGCGTAAGCGCCGCGTCGCTGTCTAACGCATAAGCATTGGTACGGAACCCATAGGAATGTTAACAAAATGTATACTGATTGTTAAAATCTCTATAAAATATCTGATAATTTGATGTGCATATGTCTAATGATCATTTTTGACCGCCAAATGGCTCATTTTTTTACTTTTTCCTCCATATCTCCGAAACCGCTAGACCTACCATCATGAAAATTTTATCGATTCTTCATCTTGTCAATACAAGTGAAATGTTTTTTGAATTATTCAAATCGAACGCTCCGTTCTCTTAAAAACTGAGTTACCGTTTTCGGCACTTTTTGCCCCGTATCTTCGGAACGGCTAGACCTGCCTTTGCCAAAAACTAATCAGCACGTCTCCTTATCAATACGAATCGAATGTTTTTTGAATTATTCAAATCGGTTGATCCGTGTTCGCGAAATCGTCGACGAAAATTTGTATCCGCACATACATACACACACGTACATACATACATACATACATACATACATACATACATACACACACACACACACACACATACATCCATTTTTTCTAAAGTATGCCAAAATATTCAGAAACCTCTGAAACGTAAAGATATATAAAAATTTTCATTTTTGATTTTTTTGCGATTACTATAACTTACCCTACGGGAAGTTAAAAATCATCTCAATATCTATTTTTTTGACGAAGTTATAGATATATATATATATATATATATATATATATATATATATATATATATACGTATGATCCTCTGAAAGCGTTTTTTTATCGTTCCGCGAGCTATTGTATGCCAGCTGCCTCTTTTTCATTATAATACCTCATGCACATGACCTTTTTAATGTGTCAACATCTTTGAACACCATGGTGTATTTCGTACATTAAATTAAATGGTGTATTTAGTACATTATATTAAAAACTTTAAATACGTTTTTCTCAAATTGACTTTTTTCAATGCGGTGCCACAAATTAAAAAAAAACTACAAGTCGGATCGACTTGCATTTTTTTTTAATTTGTTCACCACTGCAATAACTAGTTCCCCTACCTCAAACAACTTGATAACATTACACAAAAAAATTTTGCGAACCTTCTCGTCCCAAAACAAAGGACTTTTTGGACACTTTTTTTTAAATAGATGCCATTTTTTTCCTTCTTGCTTTTTTTCTTTCATTTTGGTAGGGAGACTGAATTCAAACTTCTTCTTCAACGTAGTTTCGTTTTTTTTTTGTTTCAGGCGATGCGCAACGGATTTATCTGTGGCACCGCAAACGAGATCGATTTTGCAATACCCACTTTGGCGCCCCCTGGTTAAAAAATGACGTCGAAAAAAATAAAATAAAAAATTTCTTAATATTCTATGATTTTGTAATTTTTGTTTGAAAAAAAAAACCGCATGTCTTTATCATAAATACATTTCGAGAAAAACATAAACAAATACCTTGCATGTTTTGTAACAAAAAAAAGAACAACCCCCTTGATAAAATGTATAAAAATGTATTTATGAAACTTTAAATTAGTTAAAATAGTCGAGTCTTCATAATATCCTGAAATATAAAGAAAAAATAACTGCTGAATACGATTTTCATTTTAATGTAAGAAATATTTACTGACTAATTTTCCATTAATTACTACTTAGCAATGCTGCAGCACTGAATTTAAATATTTTCTTCTATTTCAAAGGATCATATCAGTCTGAAATAGTAATAAATTGAAGAAATTTAATTATACCTACCTGGACAAGTACTTGGCCATATCCAATATTTTCAAAAACTACGGTTAATGGACTATCGGCCATTTGCTCAATGGTGTCTAAACCTTCAGGATTTACACTCAACAAATATCCCACAATACTAGATGTATAATAATTATATAAAAGTAACGTAGCTACGTATAGTGTTAACGTTAATGTCCTCTGTGACACATGGGTTGGACATGGCTCCATTCCTTAAAAATTGGTTTTAATTATTTTTAATACTATTTCTGTTGAAATATCAGTTGATCCAGTTTTGTCGAAATTAACAACGTATAATTTTCCGTTATCTGTTTTCGAGAAAAATAGTTTTTCTTGCTAAACCGTGATTTTTGGTAAAATTCATTTAATCTAGTTCAATTAGTTGGTATTAAGTGTTAAAGATATTTTTTTGAAAATTTTAAATTTTTAAAGCAACTTATACTTTGTTCAATTACACCTTGTTATTACATCAATTAATATACCTTGTTGACAAAATGCTGCTAGTGTGGAAAGTGATGATAAGCTCCAGCTACGAAATACATTAGATTTATCCGCTGAAAATTTAAGAAAAAGGAACATCAAAACAGCCAAAACTACAGTTATTAACCAAACCTCATTTCTGAAAGGTTCAGTTAAACTGCCTTCTAATGCTCCTGGCAAACCTGACACTCTGTACAGAAGTGCTGTTCTGAAATAACATTACTTATAACTAAATTATTAATTTTAGCAATATATATATTTGAATTTATTTACTCGAATATCCAGTAACTTGGTATCATGTCCATTTTATCAGGTCGATCTCTTGTGATGTATATGCCAGTTGCCAAAACATCAACTTCTCTTCTTATAAGGTATCCTAAGACACCTACCGGGGTACCATTTGGAGCATTTCCTGCCCATGCTTGATTCACATCATAAATTATACTGAAATAAATAACAGAAAATACTTGAATTACTTTTTTTAATTACCACACGTTGGTTAAATATTATGATTTTATTGTGATATGATTTTTTTTATAAAGAATGAGCTAAACTTAGTCTAATAAACTAGCAAATCAAGAGAATAATAGCAGAATTCATTTTACTTACCTGAAATTAAACATTTCTTTAGCGATAATAAGCAAGTCATTGTGATATTTGGTCAAAGAGGCGATGCCATCCGTTGGTTTTCTAGATATTAATAACTCACTAACATGTCCTTTAATTTCACTAAAATTTCTTGTAATCTACAATGGAATGACTAAATAAATTACTTAGAATTTGTTCTGTTTTTTTTCAGGAGATAATAATATAATTTATAATTATTATTAATTAAATATGCAGTTGCCTCCATACTGCAAAGAGTGGTGGGAACAGAATTCTACTAGATATGATTTTGAGAAGAACAGGAAATTAGATCGGACTCTTTTTGAAAAAGTAGCACTTTCTGCACTACTTTATGGGAGGCAAAATATCCAAAACTAATTACTCACAGGTAATAAAAATTATAATCCTAATAAAAAAATTTGCATGTAGAGATTATTTTTTGTGCATTGATACTTTTCTATATAAATTAATTTAGACACACATACACACAGATTTATACACACACCAGTGGCGGATCCAGGGGTGGGTCACGGGGGCCATGACCCCTCCCCTGAGCTTGTTTAAGATTCAGATAGAACACTAATTCAGCAATAAAATTACTTCATAGATTTTATTTATGTATTTTGTTACCAAACACATTTTATAACTTCAATGTAATTTATTATAGACAAACGATTTTCTAATCGTATTGCAAATATATGTTCTATACATAATTTAATTATGTGACCCCCCCCTGGCGTCAAAGCTGGATCCGCCACTGACACACACACACACACACATATATATATATTATATCTATAATCTATTTGAACTCACTACTGTCCCGACGATAATTGGAAACTTATGAAAATTATTTCTGACTCTATATTTAATGCCTTGAGGTTGAATATAGAGACCATCAGATATTGTATAATTTCCAGTAAAGTTTACTACTAGAGGTTGATCTTTTCTCGCTAAATAACCATATACATCATATAAATTGATTGTTTTGTCTAAAAAGAAATTAGTAAATATTTTTAAGATTAAATGAGTAATTAAAATTAGTGCCTCATTTACCTAATTTTGTTGCTAATGTTATGTCGGCATCTATACGTATTTTCAAATGTTCAAAAATAATATGTGGATCAGTTTCATTCTCAGCGAGTATTAACCATTTATAAGTTCTATTGAATAACATTAGGTCGGATATCTGCATTAAATAGGCAAAAAATGATTAAGTAGTAATGAGTAATGAAGCAATAATAATGAATTTTTTATTACATACCTTCTGAAGATAGATTTTACTTTGTGGACAATCGCTCTGTGTCAACACTCCTATTCCACCAGAGTCTGGAACTTGTAAACTAATTAAAGGATCTGTATTGTCCGAAGGAAATGATGTACGAATTTTAGCAGCACTCAAGGATCTTATTATATCAACTATTTCTAAATAGTGTAAATAATCGATTATTAATTTTAATATCTCTAAATGTATTGCTATATAATGTTTTTTTAATAATTAATGCGAAAAATAACATAATATTTCGGAAATTCGGAATTTGAGAGAATATGACACAGAAAAATTAGCGATACTAATAAATAAGCAGTATAGCTGGTGAAAAAATCATTTCTGGGTTCAAAATACGCGAAATGTAAATTGATAAACTTTCCGAAGAATTTGTTTTTGCCAAAAAATCCCATTTTCTAATTATATGTTTTTTCGATGTTTTGAGTGATTTTGAATGGTTTGATCTTAAATTTGAAACAAAAAATATGTGTATGTATGAGGGTGTGTGTGTGTGTGATTCGGCTTTTACCCGTTGTCGACGTTTTCTTAAAAACTGTTGCACCAATTTTAAAATTTTTGAAAACAATTGATGATACTCGATAAGGACTACTGTTGATGAATTTTGCAAAACGATCAGTCCAGGCGTTTTTTTAGAACTTGCAGAAAAGTGCAAAATATTTCGTCTACGCTTTTGCAGACTGATTTGAAATCAACCGATTTGAAAATTTAAAAACCATTTGAAAAATATTAGCTGGGAAAATTGCTGATCAATTTTTGGTAAAGATCGGCCTTAAATTTTAATTTGGCCGTTTTTTCGTAATTAGTTTATTGAAAAAAAAATTTTTGACGGTTTTGGTGAAACTTTGCTGACGAGAGATTTTATAGTCCGTACTATCATATTATAGGCCTTGAATTGCAGTTGAAATATAAGAATCAACTGTAACCGTTGACATCTACATTTGAATAAAATGCATTTTTAAAACACGAATTAAAATATTCATTGAATATCGCATTAGTTTGTTTTTAGTGAAAGTTGTCTCTCACTGTTATAGTCCTTTAATTTTGACAATCACAATTTTACAATACCACGATAAATGCTATCAGAACTGATTTGAAGTACATATTTCTTGCACTAATGAGTCTAAAAATGTTATTTCTTAATGCTATTTAATTAATTGCATTTTATAATATTTTTTTAATCTAACCATATTTTTGCCAGCAAATTCCGACTGCCACCAGTGATGAAACGTTTTTATATTTTGTGAATACATCAATTATGAAATCTTTATCAGATGCGAATGCATTTTGTGTAAATATTAGTATAATTATTACAAAGCTATGAACTTGCATCTTCTCAGTTGTTAATCTACTGCAGGAGTGATTTATATACAAATCGTTTTCTAGTTTTATGCGTAAATTTTTGTTTGTATTTATTAATAGTGGAATGTTTTCTATTTATAAAACCCTATACGTCTCTCTGTCATCAGATTGTTTTGTATGTAATTATATCTACGATCTTGCGTACTTTCTATATATACATATAGAAATTATTATTTATAAAAATTATGTTTATAATCTTTTATACAACTGTAGTTTTTCAACATCTAGTAAAAAAACTTTTCCAAATGCACTAATATTATGCAATTGATTGTACGGAAAATCTATGACTAAAACTGCATGTTAACTGCCATAATATTTTGACCAATTGCGATATCTGATGACAGATAATTTGGAAGCATGTCATGAGCCATGATGGTAATTGTTTTTTATTCCAATATTTCTACGTATGTCGATTTTACTATAATTATCTCTTTGTAGCTGAATCATGAATTTTTAATAAAGTATTTGTTTACATACATGTGATGCTACGAATTGGGAAAATTTTCATCGTACACTGCATTTTTTGGTATCTGAACTAAAAGGGTATAGACAGAACTATCACCTATTTTTTACACGCATGTTTGCTTGAAAAATATTTGTTTTAAAATTTACCAGCACACAAATTTTATATTATTAAATACAAGAAACAATAATGGTCAAAATACTTGTATAAGACTCACTAGAAGACTCATAAAAGTTTTGAATTGTTAGTTATCAAAAACAGTGTATAATAAAAAATGGACATAATAGATTTTTAAAATTAGAAGATTTTTAATCTTTATTATACTTTATTGTGACTTGATATAACAAGTTCAATATTTTTGTCATTTGATTTTCATTATTGCAAATGACAACTTCAAATGATTGTATATTTGTCAATATTTTTCAAAACTTTTATAAAATTTAAAATTATGAATAAGAGTCCAAGAACAACAAAATGTAGTTTAATTAAAAATCTAATATATATTCTACAGTTGTTTATGATACGAGAAGTTCCAGCAATTGGCCTTCAGGCTATTTTTATTATTTTTTTACAAGTAGAATAGAAAAATATTAGTATTTATAATATTAATGAACATAAACGTACAGAGAATTTGCAGAATAATTTGATTTATAGTTGATTTAAATATTCATGGACATGTTTGTACTTGATAATATTGACAGGCAACATGTATTATTTAGTTCTATCTGCTATATAGCGTAATATGTAATATTTGAAAGTAGAAGAAAATAGATCAATGTGTAATCTGCCATCGCCTCAAATCAAGCAACGTCGCTATCAGGAAATGTCGCCATGTTTGAAAATGCTATGACAAAAGTATTTTCTTTCGTTGTTAGTTTTTTTTAGTTGTGAGCACTGTTGTTTAATTTACGGGACCTTTATATAATTTTTAAGTATACGTTATTTAATTGTTTTATAAAATGTATTGTTAATTTTAAGTTAGGTTCACTAGATGTTTTTATATAAACTCTATAATAGCTCACATGTGGGTGGGATAAAAAGGACCAACTGAACCTTTACCCTAAAAGTTTTAGAGGGGTAAAAAGGGACAAGTTTTAGAAAAATAGTGAAATAACACATTTCTATAATTACGAATTAACTGGGAACTTTACTAAATATAGTACGATAGTTGCTTGTTTGATATATGTTATGTGTTCTTAATTTGGTATGGATTGTATAATTACTTAAAGTCAGAACCTTACACAAAATTAGCAAGTTGGATTTTATGCCGAAATTTTTTTTTTCTTCGGAAAGTAAAAAATTATAATTAACTTCCCGTAGGGTGATAGTCTTTGCAAAAAAATCGGAAATAATTTTTTTATATATCTTACGGATCTTACACGGATCAACCGATTTGAATAATTCAAAAAACATTCGATTTGTATTGATAAGGAGACGTTTCGAAGATACAGGACAAAAAGAGCCAAAAATCGTAATTCAATTTTTGAGAGAAAGGAGCGTCCGATTCAAATAATTCAAAAAACATTTTATTTGTATTGAAAATATGAAGTACGGTATACATTTGGGAAGGCAGGTCTAGCGGTTTCAGAGATTGAGTGAAAAAAGTAAAAAAAATGCAATTTGACGGTTATAAATAATCATTAGACATATGCACATCAAAATATCAGATATTTTATAGAGATTTTAATAATAAGTATGAATTTTGTTGATGTTTCTATGGGTTCCGTGTCAATGTTTATCCGTTAGACAGCGATGAGGCACTTACGCGCTTCGATATTTTTTCTCTAAAACAACCACGCAGCACGATTGCTTTAAAAATACACCACTAGTTTTTTATTAACTTCTCGTAGGGTAAGTTATTGTAATGGGCCGAAAATCGAAATTGAAAATTTTTACATTTCTCGATGTTTTGAAGGTTTCTGAACATTTTGGCATACCTCAGAAAAATGGATGTGTGTGTGTATGTATGTATGTATGGATACAAATATATAGTATACAGTCACGTTTTCGGGCACACGGATCAACCGATTTGAATGGTTCAAAAAACATTCGATTTTTATTGATAGGGAGATGTGCTGATTAGTTTTTGACAAAGGCAGGTCCAGCAATTACGGAGATAAAGAGCAAAGAGTGCAGAAAATTAAAATCGAGTTTTTGAGAGAACGGAGCATCCGATTTGAATGATCTAAAAACATTCAATTAGTAATGATTGGGAGAAGTGTTTATTAGTTTTTGGCAAAGGCAAGCCCAGCCATTTCGAAGATACGGAGCTAAATGTGTAAAAAATGGCAGTTTTTGCGAGAACTAAGCGTCCGATTTATATGATTCAAAGAACTTTCTGCTTGTCCTAACAAAATAATTGATATTGGAAAAAAAAATTGTTTCAATTTTTTTTTCAATTTTTTGTATACCGAAAATAATTCAGATTTTATTTTTAATTTTGACTATAGTTCTAATATACTTTCAACAAATAATTTCATCTTTGCAATTCAGTTTATATAATGCTTATAAATATTAGACAATGTTACAATATTAATAATAATCTATTTGAAAACATTCAGTATTCCTTGAACATTTCGTTACGGTACGGGAAGTTCCAGCAATTTGCGTTAAGGCACGATGCCATACATCTCACTAGTTTATTTTTATTGGCTTGGCTTACTTAGAGCATTTCGCCACCTACATTTCATTTTTATATTCTATACCAGGCATCGGCAACCTACGGCACGCGTGCCAGGCTTGGCACGCGAAGGGATTCTGAATGGCACGCTACAAAGGAATTAGGAAAATCGCTAATACTATTGCTAAATATACATATTAATTTCTGAAATTAAACGAAGATCAGAGACTTCGACTCAATTAGTATGTTCGAATAATTACAACTTGAGTAATTTGGCAAAAACACCTGTCTTCATTAAACTTTCGTCTAAATACAGTAAGATCATCTCTGTTAATTTTTATAACCAATTGTAAACACTCGAAAAATATGTCTAAAATATGAAATTCAATATTTATTATATCGCTGTCAAAATTCAATACTTTTGCTTAAAATTTTCCCGAAAATTTTTGCATACAATTTACCCAGTTTCAACCGCAAATGCTGAAAAGTTTTTCAAAAATAAAACTGATACAAAATTGGCTAATTAGTTGTAAGTCTTAGGAAACTTTGCTTGTATTTCCCGATATGTGTAAATAATCGACACAATCAATAAGAATTTAGATTTATTCCAAATTTTTTGATTTTTTAAAAGAAAAAGAGGTCCGGGGATATAATCCGAACAGTTCTTGATTTTGAAACGAGGGCGAAAATTTTAGCACTCTTCTCCTAATTTCGAGAAATCGGCTCAGCCTATCGTTGTAAACAAACATTTTCTGGCAAAAAAATTTAAACATTTCTTTCAGGAAGTTAAATACTTCTATGATACACAAACAGCACTCAGATCATTATTGTTCATAGAAGCAGAAACTTTATCCCCAAAAAAATTTTGATACGGGGCCCCGCCAATGCACGCTACGTCCTTGTTCAGAATTAAGGCGGCACTCTGAATCATATTGGTACAGTGGCTTGGCACACCACAGTTAAAAGGTTGCCGACCCCTGTTCTATACTATCTCTATATATATTCTATTACTAACTTTATATATTGTACACTATCTTATATGTATAGTCTATTCTATACTATCTTTTATTTGTATCGTATTATATCCAATTTTTCCGCGCTTTACAACTGATTCTTCATTCTTATTTTCTCTTTTAAATCTGATCTTTTTGAATTCTAATCTTACTTTTCTTCTTACTTCATGCTCATACAGTTTGAAATCTTTTATTGCATTATGTTGGGTATGATGGCTTTTACCCTAAGAATATTATTAACTTCTCGTAGGGTAAGTTATTGTAATGGGCCGAAAATCGGAATTGAAAATTTTTACATTTCTCGTTTAAAGGTTTGAAACGTTTTGAAGGTTTCTGAACATTTTGGCATACCTCAGAAAAAATGGATGTGTCACGTTTTCGGGCGCACGGATCAAACGATTTGAATGGTTTAAAAAACATTCGATTCCTATTCATAGGGAAAAGAGCTGATTACTTTTTGGCAAAGGCAGGTCCAGCCGTTTCGGAGATACGGAGCAAAGAATGCAGAAAATAGAAATCGACTTTTTGAGAGAACGGAGTATCCGATTTGAATGATCTAAAAAACATTCAATTAGTAATGGTTGGGAGAAGTGTTTATTAGTTTTTGGCAAAGGCAGGCCCAGCCATTTCGAAGATACGGAGCGAAATATGTAAAAAATGGCAGTTTTTGAGAGAACTAAGCGTCCGATTTAAATGATTCAAAGAACTTTCTGCTTGTCTTAACAAAATAATTGATTTTGGGAAAAAAAAATCCAATATTTTTTTTTTTTTTAATTTTTTGTATATCGAAAATAATTCAGATTTTAGTTTCAATTCTGACTATAGTTCTAATATACTTTACAAATAATTTCAACTTTGCAATTCAGTTTATATAATTCTTATAAATATTAGACAATGTTACAATATTTATAATAATCTATTTGAAAACATTCAGTATTCCTCAAACATTTTGTTACGGTACGGAAGTTCCAGCAATTTGCCTTAAGGCACGATGCCATAATTGTCTCAAGACAGAATTCTACTTACAGCTAGTTTACATGGTATTTGCTGTGATATTTTTTCTGTCAATGCTATTAGCATGTTCAAAACTAATTTCAAAACCGCCGCCGATAAATGCAGGCAGCCATCTATACAGCACGAGCTGTATTAGTTATGCTAGTGAAGTCCGTCACCTTATCCCTGCCTGACTGTTTCCCTGCAGTGCGATACCCCACTGCGGCCAGCACAGTGATCATATGTTCAAAGTTGTGTTTAGACGCTGCGCGTCTGTCAAAG